ATGTCTAGGGGGGGGGGTCGCAACCATTAATTATATTTTTTTCACCTTATTTTCCGCATCTTGAGAGAGGAAAGGGAAGTAATACGTTGAAATGAACTAAATTTGTTAATAACATTAGAAATTAAAATCATGTGAAATGTGACGTATAGAGATAATTACCTAAGAAATTAACTTTGTTTGAATATGATGTACTTTAAAAAGTTTTATGTTAGGTTAAGTAAAATGGGGGTAAATCATATTATAATGAGCTATAAAATTAAACAAAAGTTGCTTATAGACAATACTTCTTTTTTGCTTTATAGTATTTTATCTATGATCGAAAATTAACATCTGCAGTGCACATTTTTCTTTTAGTTTATAGAGACACTTGAAATAGTTCACCAATTTGAATAACGTCAAAATAAACATATTTTTCCCGGGGTGTTGTTATAAGAATTAAAATAATTTGGTCTGTTATTTTCAATGTAAATGGTATTTCTTCGAATTGTTGAAACAATATTTTTGTTGGATATTTTTTCTTACACTAAATTTCTGCAATTATGGCTCTTTATGTGAAATATAGTTAAAAGTCATCAAAATTTGTGTCCCTGTCACGTATATAGTTCATGTATAAAGATAATCACCTAAGAAACTAGCGTTGTTTGAATTTGATATACTTTTGAAAGTTTCATGTTAGGTTAAGTAAAAAAGGGTAAAACATATTATAATGAACTATAAAATTGAACAAAAGATGCTTATAGACAATCCTCCTTTTCTGGCTTTATAGTATCTTATCTATGAGCGGAAACTAACATCTGCAGTGCACATTTTTCTTTTAGTTTATAGAGACACTTGAAATAGTTGACAAATTTGAATAACGTCAAAATAAACATTTTTTTCCTGGGGTGTTGTTATAAGGAAATAAAATAATTTGGTCTGTTATTTTTAATGTAAATGGTATTTCTTCGAATTGTTGAAACAATATTTTTGTTGCTTATTTTTTCTGACACTAAATTTCTGCAATTATGGCTCTTTATCCAAAATATAATTAAAAATCATCAAAATTTGTGTCACCGTCCACAGAAAAGTACTTGTCTTGTGTTGATATTAATATTCATAAAGCCAATATTACTAGCACTTTAGAACAAGACAGTTTCTATTTCAGTTATTTTTTTTCTAAGCTGCTGTTTGAGAAGAATAGAAAACAATTCGTCAGAATTCAAAAGAGAAATTTCATTGATAGCCAAATTGCCTCTTCAATGGTAAGTAATGAAAACATAAAGAAAACCTAAAATTCAGAGCCTATCACATAATTTAAGAACAATAGCTCATATGGATTAAACTTCCTTATCAAGACCATACATTTCATTTATCATAGTCATGTTTATACGTAATTCAACAGATAATCTAATACAATCTTTATCTTTTAAAATACTTAAAGCATTATGAAACATTTTTATATGTTTGTTTTTTTTGAACATTTTCTGTAGTTAAGAGTAGCGCAGCCATGCATCATGTATACATGGTTGCCATTTGGTAATTTGACTAATTTAAAATTCCTAAAAGAACTTTTACTCTTTCGCAAATCTTTTTATCATTTTATATTTATCCTTATGATGAAAACAAAAACGAATTGATTGATCACATCCAATGATAAAGTTCTACTAATTGATATTTATGAATGTCTGGAAATGTATTATATCATATTTCCATTGATACGCCAGAGAAAATAGTAGCTACATCAAAAATACTTAAACAACCATCATTAAGTATTTTTGTTCTGAATACAGAAAACAAAAAAATAATTTCCAACTATCATAGACATTTAAGAATATTAGAATATTTGCAAAGTGTTTTGCGTTTTTACATGAAAATGATAGTAAACTAAAATTTGAAGGCATGTGTGATAAAGAATATTTGATTGGACATCAAAACTAAGATTTATGATTGAGGGAAATGATAAAGAACAAGAGGTACACAATTCAACAAATTGAAATGGGGCAAATCGTCATCAAACTTCAATACAGAAGTCATTTTAAAAAGCAAGGAATGCATGCAAAATAAATTATACATTTTTCGTCTCTTGTTTCTTCTGCTACAATTATTCAATATTGCAAGAATATTTTTAACAGATGGAAAACGCCTTTTAATTGTCTGTAACAAAATTTTTGAAGAATTAAAACTTTTTGATACTTCAAAGTTGAATTCCTCTATTTAGTTCTTTAGACTTTTTTACATTAGCAATTCTGTCGAAATGCTCATCAATTTCATTTAATTCAGAACTTATTTAATTATGAGAGTCGAACTTCTCTATACGGCTGACAGATGTTGTAAACAGAATATCATGTATATCATTAAAAATGTAAGTCAAAAATTGTGCTCTGAAAATGTTTAGAGGGAATGGGGGTCTGCAACCATTAATGTGTCTTTTTTGTCCTTCTTTCCTGCATTTTTGAGAGAGGAAAGAGAATGATTACATTGAAATAAACTAAATTTAATAAAAACATTAGAGATTAAAATCATGTGAAATGGGATGTATAAAGATAATCACCTAAGAAACTAGCCTTGTTTGAATTTGATATACTTTAGAAAGTTTCATGTTAGGTTAAGTAAAAAGTGGGTAAAACATATTATAATGAACTATAAAAATTGAACAAAAGATGCTTATAGACAATCCTCCTTTTCTGGCTTTATAGTATCTTATCTATGAGCGGAAACTAACATCTGCAGTGCACATTTTTCTTTTAGCTTATAGAGACACTTGAAATAAATGACCAATTTGAATAACGTCATCATAAACATATTTTTCCCGGGATGTAGTTATAAGGAATTGAAATAACTCGGTCTGTTATTTTCAATGTAAATGATATTTCTTCGAATTGTTGAAACAATATTTTTGTTGCATATTTTTTCTTACACTAAATTTCGCAATTATGGCTCTTTATCCCAAAATAGATGAAAAATCATCAAAATTTGTGTCCCCGTCCACAGAAAAGTACTTGTCTTGTGTTAATGTCAAAATTCAAAATGCCAATATTACTAGCACTTTAGGACAAGACAATTTGTGCTTCAGTTGTATTTTTTCCAAACTGCTGTTTGAGAAGAATAGAAAACAACTCGTCAGAATTCAAAAGAGAAATTTTATTCATAGCCAAATTGCCTCTTCAATGGTAAGCAAAGAAAACATAAAGAAATCCTAAAATTCAGAGCCTATCACATAATGCAAAAATAATAGCTCTTATGGATTTAACTTCCTTATCAAGACCATACATTTCATTTATCATAGTCATGCTTATACGTAATCCAACAGATAATCTAACACAATCTTTATCTTATAAAATACTTAAAGCATTATGAAACATTTTTGTATGTTTTTTTAAGCATTTTCTGTAGTTTAGAGTAGCGCAGCTAATCATTATATATACATAGCTGCCATTTGGTAATTTGACTAGTCTATAATTTTTTAAAAATAATTTACCGTTTCGCATATCTTTTTATCATTTTATGTTTATCCTTATGATAGAAACAAAAACGAATCACAACTAAAGATAAAGTTCTACTTATTTATATTTATGGATGTCTGCAAATATATTATATCATATTTCCAATGATACGCCAGAGAAAATAGTAGCTACATCAGAAATATTTGAAGAAACCATCATTAAGTATTTTTTTCTAAATAGAGATAACAAAAAAATGTTTTTAGCTATCATAGACATTTAAGAATAATAGAATATTTGCAAAGTGTTTTGCGTTTTTAGATGAGAATGATAGTGAACTAAAACTTCAATGCATGTGTGATAAAGAATATTTGATTGGACATTAAATCTAAGCTTTAGGATTGAGGGAAATAATAAAGAAAGAGAGTTACATAATTCAACAAGTTGAATGGGGCAAATCATCATCAAACATCAATACAGAAGTCATTTTAAAAAGCAAGGAATGCATGTAAAACAAATGATACATTTTTCGCCTCTTGTGTCTTTTGCTACAATTATTCAATATTACAAGAACACTTTTGACAAATGGCAAATGCCTTTTAATTGTCTAAAACAAAATATTTGAAGAAGTAAGAATTTTTTAGTTCTGCAAAGTTGCATTCCTCTATTTAGCTTTTTAGATTTTCTTTACTTTAGCAGTTCTGTCAAAATACTTATAAATTTCATTCAATTTAGAATTTATATAATTATGAGAGTCAAACTTCTTTATACGACTGACAGATGTTGTAAAGCAGAATATCATGTATTGTTTAACGGCCTCCATTTCTGTAACTAGACGACATGTAGTTACAGAGAGGCCAGCGAGTCTGTTAAACATTGCGCAACAGATTATTTGGCATTTGATTTTGCTTGCTTAGTTAAGCAATACGTCTCTCCCTCTTATCTGGTAAACTGAGTTAACATGAGCAAATTTGAAATCAACACAATTTAAATTTTTTTCTAAACCGCTCTTGGTGAATTTCATATATTGCATCATCTCCTTATAGTGGACATTAAAATGTTTTATTTCTTTCTATGCTTTCGTTTCTTAGAAACCTTACATCTATTTATTCAAAACACGTTCTAGGCGGGTGAACTCTACTTATATGAATTGTTGTAAACATGAGCCTTTATAATGAACAATTTGTCTAATCTATTGCAATAATATCCAATCATCATAAATTATCTGAAAGCAAACGTGAAAATACTTTTTGGAGAAGGAAATTAAAATGTTACATAATTATAGAAATCATTATTTTATTTATTCATCCCCCACAAAGTTAAAAACGAACTCATTACATTGATGATAAACATTTCATAAAAAAAGTAAATGTTTTACTACGAAAGCTTTAAAGAAATTAATAATCGTCCAATTTTTAACAAATAGAAAATAAAGATGATATCAAGCTCAACAAAAGCGTTTCTTGGGACTCTCATAATCCTGTCTATTAGTGTACAAATAGTAAATGGTAATGACGACATATCAATCTGCAAGAAAAGCTTAGAGACACTAAAAGATAACGTGAAAGAATGGATGGAAACTTGCGTTGATAAAAATGGCAATGACGATAACGCAACTGCATGCAAGAAAGTAAAACAATACAACAAAGAAATGATGCAAATACAAACAGAAATGTGTTTTTACAAAGGTATAATCTTTAGATTTGACAAATTTTCATAGTTTCTTGTTCATAGCACCAAAAACAGTATTCAACAAAAATAGGTAGAAGTTGTGCAGCCAATCTAATTTCAGTGATTAGTAATATTTCTACAGTTAATAATTCATTCTAAAAATAGTTATTCTGGTCTTTCACAAAATATTATGATCGTAAATTCTATAAAAATTTGCATTTTTTAAATCCACTTTCATCGTTGTTATTTATAGTTTTTTTATTATTTATTTAGATGTTTATCCAAAGCCATATTTGATTATTATGAGCTTTGATAAAATATACTCTGTTGATTCTATTACTGGAGATATTCATGTCAGCTCTATTAATGGCTCCAGTAAGAAAAAATCTGACTATGCGTCAAGATATAATGACATAGAAATTGATGTAGTTGAAAACGTGCTTTACTACATTGATGACAAAGACATCAAACGGGGAAATCTTGATTTGACTAGAAACGAAATTTTTGCGAAAAATGTTTCTGTTCATGATATTACAGTTGACTGGATTGGTCGTCGTATCTTTTACATTGACTCCACCAACATTATCTACCAAATTTATTTGAAAAATAAAACTACAAGTGTTATGAGGCTTCAACCAGGCTTACAATTTTCCAGCATTGCATTTGACTCAAAACATGGGTAAGGCGATATTGAAATTCTTTTTATTTACTTGTAAGCGTAAAGTTAATAAACTATGTCAATCTATTGGAGGGTTTTCTTACGTAAGGTAAGAGTTTTTGTTTTTAGAGACGGTGTTTTAATTTAATAGAAAAGTTGAATTTTATAAGTCCGTATTATGGTTTGTTATTTAAAGGTTTAATAATAGAAAAAATATCGATTTTCCGGGGAAATCAAAACTTGCTTTTTCCCAAGGGAGCGAATATTAAGTATTTTGTTGGCTATAAAGAAACAAACGTCATATAGTTCGACCGATTTTTATTAAAATCAACGTCTTTCGGAGATATTTGGCCAGCAAAATTTTATTGTGTGACTATAAGGCATTTCAAACCAACTGCAATAATGAACACGCTTCGTGTGATTATTCAGCACACATGCAGTAGAAAATAACATGCAGATCCTGAAATTTTAAAAATCGACAGCGATATTTATGTTGAGCAACCAAAGAGCTTTAAGAAAAAAGGTAACAACGGAGGGATCAATGTTTATATATGATGAAGTCATTAAATGAAATAAAACAGAGCGGTAGAAACTAAAATAAAATATTAAATAATTACTTTGAACATAAAACTTTAGTCAAATACTCACAGAACCTTGGCTTTCCACAACCTACAAAAAAGTAGTACAACTTCACTGTGCAACTTAGTGTTATACATTTAATTCCATTAATGGCTTCGGCTAGCCACCTAAGAGGGCTTTTCTTTGTCAGAAAAAGCAATTTGCTTGACGCCTCCATGGTAATTATATGCTTAATAAGATATGCCCTACACTAAAGATTTCAACAAATTGGGAGCATTGTTTGTTGCTATACTGTGCTCTTTTGTATACTACAGCATTACTCATTCAAACAATAATCGCAAACAATACCAATCATTATAGAAGTTATGTGAATAAAAATAACATATTACATTTATTATTATATTCTGAACCACATGCAATGTTTGATTACTTCATATATTTTAGTTCGGTTTTTAAAAGGGAGATTTCAAATGATAAAGGCGATCTTTTTCTGTTAGTTACAATAGCTTTATGTTGCTATATTATCAAATTTTATGAATATGTTCCATTAAACCGTCTATATATGAAGGTAGTTCTGAATACTTTGACAACATCTTTGTCTAAATTAAAAAAATCTATCTTTCCTTTTATGCATATATTAGCCTGTTTATTGTTTATGTATTTCAGTACGTATAGAGAAAACTAGTGTACAAAACAAATATTTTTATTAAGGTATCTATTCTTGGCGGAAAGTACAGAAGTTTTCTTATGGTTATGGAGCATGGCTGCAAATAAACATGATATTTTTTCAGTTTCACTTCAGTCAATAGCACATGATTTAACGCTTGACATGGCTAAAGAGAAGATTTATTGGCGAGATTCAAACGGAAATATTTTTTCTTATGTTTACTTCTCCCAAAATGTAAATGATTTTGGAACTTCACGAGGTCCCATGGCAGTATTTGGGGATTTTATTTATATCATGACTAGTGTTGGACGAAGTGTCGTTAGTGTCCATAACACAACAGATCAACGTACGAGACGTAAATTTTTTCTTCCTGTAAACAACGCTTATCTCGATTTGGCTGTAGCTAAATACAGTATCACTCCTGACTCAAACGGTAGTTAAATATTTACCTATTTGACATAATAATCTTAGACTTGAAAAAACTCCCTCGCTAATGTTCATAAAATAGAAAGACGTTAAAAAGTTAAAAGTTACATTGCCTTAGTAAACGGTTGTTCTTCCTTCCAAAATTATAGAAAATTTGATGAACATTATGTTCAAAGTGCAAAGTGTCTAATTTGGACATTTTTGCCGTTTGTCTATTCTTATCAAACTTCTTGGGTGTTAAATTTAAGTCTTTATTGTTTCTTACATTATTTAAACAATCACCTGGGCTTAAATTTGTCTTAAATAAAAAAAAAAAATCATGAAAATAGATTGTAAGACAAAAACGTCCAAATTGAGCATGTTGTGCAGTGAGCTTAATATTTATCAAATTTCTTAAAATTTCAGTATATTGCAAAACAGAGATTAAACTTTTACATCTTTGGAATAAACTAGATTTGAAACTTTTCATTTTCTTTGTGCATGCTGTTCAAATTGAGGCGATTACGAAGTACTCTTATGGTTTTCGAGATTAATTTTTTATTCATTTTACTTTAAATAAACAAGGCAAAGCCATGCCAAAATACATGAGCTTTGACACATTTTGTAAGAACTACTGATGAAGTGATAATTTTCTGAACATTTTTCAATTATCTAACTTCTTTAGTATATCCATTATAGTGTCCCAAACAGCCAGCAAATTTGTTCATACTCTGTAAATTTTCAACATTTATTTAATAGTTTTGTTTTTACGAAATGCGCGAACACCAAAAATACAAACATTGCATAACAAACTTGCTTGCTGGGTACGTCATAATTGATACTGAGTGACAAATTGTGCTCTTTGAGGAAGAATATGTTCTGTTTAAAATCCCTGGTTGATTTTATCTTTAATTTTATTGATCGATATAGCGACAAGCACTTTTCAATTTCCTTTGTGTGGACCCAACACATACTATCGTAAAATTAATGGAACATTGAACTGCACGTGTATGGAAGGATACTCAGGAGAATGTAACTCGTGCCAAGGTATGGATTTATTATTGTCTTTATAAAGATTTTTTATCAAGGATCATGAATAAAGAGCATCTCTGTGCAGTTTTAAACTTTGTTTTTGTTGAGAATCCTTAGCTGTTCTCTGTGCTGTTGCTTCTGTGCATGGAATTTGCTGCATCTACATTTTACATGTAACCACAAAAATAAGGCTCACAGCCACACATACAAGCTCATCATTATCAATACCATCAAGCAGGAAATCAGTAAAAAATTTATGAAAAGCTTCATTAGACCCTTTGCACATGACGTCACAGCTGATGTTGAGCTTCTTCTGGGGGTCAAGGTTATAAATAAGTAATAGGAAGTAAAACTTTCGGTCATTAGAATAAACTTGAATATTTCGGGGTTGAGACTTCTATGTTTTGCAATATCTCTTTATTTTCTTTTTTTATCAGTTATGAACTCTGTTAGACTTCGGGGACCAGAAAGTTCTATTGGTAGAGGTCGTGTGGAAGTATTTTACAATGGAGAATGGGGAACAATTTGTGATGATGGCTGGGATATAAACGATGCTAAAGTTGTTTGTCGACAACTCGGTTATGACTATGCTGTCAGGGCTTTACTAGGAGGTAATGTTCCACATGGAAGTGGAAGAATATGGTTAGACGAAGTTCGTTGTGTAGGAAATGAAAGTGATATTTCGAGTTGTTCACATAGAGAATGGGGATCACATAATTGTAGACATAAGGAAGATGCTGGTGTACAATGTTCAGGTTTGTATGTACATTATTTACCTTTTGTACAAAGATGATAAACTGAATTATTTGGGTGATCCCCAAAGAATAATTTGAACATTTAGTATGATTTTATAATACTGACACATATATTGACAAATGCCTTAAGTATAAACACAGCTTCGGACGTAAATTAACCAAATAAACACAACTCGTTCCACGAGTACATAATTAAACATAACCAATTTTATGATTGCCATAGAAAGATTCGATAATCCTAGAGAAAAATGGCAGCCCATTGACCAAATTTTCCGTGGAGGAATGTGATAATCCTTATATTATCAGTTTGGTTACGATTTTTACATTAATTTTGTCTTTTTAAAGCTGCAGGCTGTAGCTTATGAAGCTCCATTAAAATTTTTTTGCATATTAAAAAGGAGCATCTCCAAATTTAGACTACCGTGTAACTTTATGTCTTGTAATGGCGTGCTGTCTATCTGAAGAATTCATTTTTAAATTCGTTTTTTACAAACCGTTAAGGCTTAGCATAAGCTATGCCTAGAGAGCACCAGAAACTTATTTCTGAATAATTAAAAAGACGGTTATTTTAAAAATACGATAAAGATTCCCACGTTGTAAACGAAGAGACTATGTGACCAATTTACTGTTTATTTTTTGCTTGTTTCAACAAGTTATGGGGTAGTGTTGCCATATGGCAATAAAATCAAATGATTGAATGGAACACCAATGGGGAAAGTTTGCAAGTTAAAGGGTTAAGAAGTTATTTATATTACAAAAAGAAATGAGGACTGATCTAAATAAAAGTTTTTTCGATTTATAAAAGTCAAATAGTGTGTTTAACAGTCCAAAACGTCTTTATATGGTATTTATGTTAAGCTTTTTTATCAATATTTTGTTACTAATTCAAAATCATTAATTTTGCAAAAGAATATTTTACAATGACATCGAACATAACAGGATACTTTATATGTATACATGTAATTAGAATAATTCGGAGTTGAGACTTCTATGTTTTGCAATATCTCTTTATTTTCTTTTCTTATCAGTTATCCACTCTGTTAGACTTCGAGGACCAGAAAGTTCTATTGGTAGAGGTCGTGTGGATGTATTTTACAATGGAGAATGGGGAACAATTTGTGATGATGGCTGGGATATAAACGATGCTAAAGTTGTTTGTCGACAACTCGGTTATGACTATGCTGTCAGGGCTTTCCAAGGAGGTTATGTTCCTTACGGCAGTGGAAGAATATGGTTAGACGAAGTTCGTTGTGTAGGAAATGAAAATAATATTTCGAGTTGTTCACATAGTGGATGGGGATCACATAATTGTGCACATGGTGAAGATGCTGGTATACAATGTTCAGGTTTGTTTCTACATTATTTACATTTTTTTACAAAGATAATAAACTGAATTATTTGAAGGATTCTCAATGATTAATCGAAACATTTAATATGATTTTCAAATACTGAAACAAATATTGACAAATGCCTTAAGTATAAACACAGCTTCGGACGTAAATTAACCAAATAAACACAACTCGTTCCACGAGTACATAATTAAACATAACCAATTTTATGATTGCCCATAGAAAGCTTCAATAATCCTAGAGAAAAAGGGCAGTCCATTGACCAAATTTTCCGTGGAGGAATGTGATAATCCTTATATTATCAGTTTGGTTACGATTTTTACATTAATTTTGTCTTTTTAAAGCTGCAGGCTGTAGCTTATGAAGCTCCATTAAAATTTCTTTGCATATTAAAAAGGAGCATCTCCAAATTTAGACTACCGTGTAACTTTATGACTTGTAATGGCGTGCTGTCTATCTGAAGAATTCATTTTTAAATTCGTCTTTTACAAACCGTTCAGGCTTAGCATAAGCTATGCCTAGAGACCACCCGAAACGTATTTCTGAATAAGTAAAAAGACGGTTATTTAAAAAATACGATAAAGATTCCCACGTTGTAAACGAAGAGACTATGTGAACAATTTACTGTTTATTTTTTGCTTGTTTCAACAAGTTATGGGGCAGTGTTGCCATATGGCAATAAAATCAAATGATTAAATGGAAAACCAATGGGGAACATTCGCAAGTTAAAAGGTTAATAAGATATTTATATTACAAAAAAATGAGGAATGATCTAAATAAAAAATTATTTAGACTCATGAAAGTCAAATAGTGTCTATTTGTCCAAAACGTTTTGATATTGTACTCATGTAAGTTTTTTTATCAATTTTTTGTTACTAATTTAATTCATTAATTTCGCCTAAGAAGTTTTTACAATGGCATCTAACATATTATGATACTTTATATGTATAAATGTAACTTAGAATATTTCGGAGTTGAGACTTCTGTGTTTTGCAATATCTCTTTATTGTCTTTTTATATCAGTTATCAACTCTGTTAGACTACGGGGACCAGAAAGTTCTATTGGTAGAGGTCGTGTGGAAGTATTTTACAATGGAGAATGGGGAACAATTTGTGATGATGGCTGGGATATAAACGATGCTAAAGTTGTTTGTCGACAACTCGGTTATGACCATGCTGCCAAGGCTTTACTAGAAGGTAATGTTCCACATGGAAGTGGAAGAATATGGTTAGACGAAGTTCGTTGTGTAGGAAATGAAAATGATATTTCGAGTTGTTCACATAGAGAATGGGGATCACATAATTGTAGACATAAGGAAGATGCTGGTGTACAATGTTCAGGTTTGTATGTACATATTTGGAAAATATTTCAACACAGATTCACCCCCTATTTACATAACTTCTTTGTCGGTCAAGCTCTACTGCTAAGCACGTTAGGTCACAAACCATGTATATTCTTACATATATGAATATTCAACCCCAATCAATGTTCTAGTTTTGTACCTAAGCGTAGCCAACGTTTTGGTATTTAGTCTTGTTTTGTTGGTTTTTCCGAGTTGATTTACTAGGAAATCCATAAATTTGAAAATGAACATTGCTTGATGGAACAATGAATAAGGCTTCATTAAACAATTTTATCAAAATTCTAAGGCAAGATGTAACATCTCCGAATACCGCCGCTATGCATATCAAGATATTCACATCAATCACGACAAGCTTGGATCAAATATGATTTTTCCACTTTTTGTAAAAACTTTTTTTAAAGGATTTATTGTGGGTAAGCCGTCGAGCTTGTTTGGTATGGATGATACGCTTTAATTTCACATAAATTTGTTAGTCGATGCATTTTCGTTTGCAAATTAATCCAGCATCTCGAATTAACAAACTCAATTGACTTAAGTTTGTTTAAAGTGAACATTTTATGTGGCACCAACATAAAATTGGTATTCTCTTAATTAGAATTCAATATATAAGTAAAGAGAATGAAACGCTGTTCTGATTGGTCAATAGCTGTGTTTTCATTAGTCTCTGCAAAACAGATCTGAGTTCAACCCGTCAAATTAATAAAATTGCAAATCGATCATAAATGCATTTTAGGGGTAAAGTTAAAACGTCGGTTTTTAATTTGTCAGTTTCACTTTATTGTTTCTTCATAAAAGAAATAAATGATTTTTTCGTGTTTGCACTGGCTTATGCACAAGGGTTAAACTAGCACCTTTTAATGTGGGGGGGGGGGGGGGGGGGGATGAAATTGCCCTGCAAGGACACAAGATGCCCTGCAGATCATATAGATTAGTACTTATTCAACAATAAAATATTGTGATGATTGAACAGATTTTCGCTACATATTTTTGTAATGCATATTGTATTCTTGTGACAGAACGCACTTTAGCGTATTATTAAATCTTTAATGGCATTTTTCGCAACCTTGCATTTGCCTAATTATTTAAAATAACATTTAAGTCAACATTGTCCGTAAGATCTTTTTCACATGCAAGAACGATTAAGTCATTTAATCGCGTATCTTTCTTTGTGCATCTCAAGCAGTTTTTGACAATCATATACTTGCTGAAACACCTTTCATCTTTTGCAACGGACACTGGAGCGGTCAGCAATAGTTGATACGCCTTGCACACCGTTGGAAAGACGTTTTTGTGATTGAAAGCAAATAACGCAACGTCTTGAAGGGATTTGGGTTCTGATTTAAGTTGTGACGACACAATATTATTGAAAATTTCCAACTCAGACAGCAGTATTTCTGCATCAACATCTTATACCGCCGGTGGAAAGACTACACATTCCATTAACTGTTTCAGCCATTGGCCTTTCTAGCGGCATCTGTAAGCTCTCTCCAAGAAGTTTTATCTGATCGATGCAAACTTTAATGTTATCGGTATACTCGGTAATAAGTGAGTCTAGAACCAAGTAGATTTCTTTCGGTACAAATCTTTAAAGGTTTTTCTGTTGTTATTTCGGAATGCTCACCAATTCGTTTGGGTGACTTTCTTGATCGATGATGACGAGTGTATCTGCCAATACGTCTATTCCTGAGTGCAAGCCTGAGTGCAAGCCACATCAAGAAGAATCAACATAATTTCTTTGTTCTTTTCTTCATCTGCTTTCTCTTGCATCAATATTTCCTTCATTTTCGCATTCATCATTACATCAATATGGCCAGATGTTATTGAGAAACGAGCAAAATCAGCCAGAGCAGCTTGATGGGACTTGCTACTGAAGTGTTTATGAAGTTTTCCTTCATAAACACTTCAGGAAGAAAGATTAATTTTTAAAGTGTATTTATTGTTCTTTTACTTTTCGTTGCAAAAAATGACGTGCTTCATCTTTCTATTGCTACCAAGGAACAATACTATGATTATGACAATGAATGAAACTGTTTTGATTTGATTTTGGTAAGACTTGGCAAACACAAGTAGTATTTACGGACAAAATTTAAAACTGGCCAAAATTTGCGAAATTTTTTTCCGTTCAGATCATGAATAGGGTTTTCCTATATTCCTTGATATAGACTGAAAGCAGAAAAGCGCTTTTCTAAGAGTTAAATTTCATGAAATTTTATAGGCTATGAGGAAAGATCCTAGTGATGGGGAATCATGTCAAAGAAATACACTAAAAACCTAATTCTAATCAAAAATGCTTATCGTAAAAAGTGTCGTGGAAAATTTGAAAGCTTATGTAGAAAATGCTGTGTGTTTGACATTTTTATCCATTGTTGAAATGTATCTGTAACACAAAACTACGTGTAAACAAATTGTAATCAACCATATTATCATATAAAGTAAATGTAGATATTATCATAATCTATAAAAAAAAGTAAAATGATAAAGTTTCATTTCTGCTAAGAATAAATATTATTGACAAATCAAATGATTTACTGAATTATATTATCTTTGACAATTGACAAATCAAGCCGTAAGATTTTCTTTTGAAGTTACATAGAGTTATTGCGTGGATTCCGCAAGACAATGCTGGCGATTGCTACCTACCATGCCGCTTGTACTGTCCACCAACCAGAGATGACCGCGATTGCATTAAAATAAAATTAATAAAATCAGTTTATGATGTGTTTCCAAAGGAGAAGCAAACCTCGACTAGCTTTGTAATTAATAGAAATCTTAAAATCAATCTATTGTAAATCTTGACATTTAGTTTTTCCGTTGGGACTTGTTAATCCTGTAGATTGATTTACCAATAAATTGATGCATTGTAGGAATCAGAAATGTCTAGAATATGATATCGAAATAAAAACCTTAGTAAAGAGTTTAACGACTTTTTTTACCCTTTTTTTAAGAAAGAACACTTATAATTTGATCAAACCTTTTTAATCTTCGACGTTAGGTCCTTACACCTCAAAAACATAACGACATAGCGACATGATTGCAAATGGTGTTATAACATTTAATTAAAATACATGGAACGCTACTTGTGATACAAAATCCTGATAATTTTTTGAAGCCGTGATTTTATCCCAGAAACGCGAGATTTTACCCCTAGACACGCTTGTGAATGAATTCAATTATTACTCCGTGCGAGAGTCTCAAAACACTAAGCACGCGTGTCTGTTGTAAAATCTCGCGTATCTGGTGTAAGATTTGGGCTTTTCGCTTCAATTATTAGCTTTAGGTAGCGCTCCATGTATTTTAGTTCTATGTGTTATAACGACTACCATTGGTAACCTGGCAAACATGTCGCTGAGTAGTAACAACCTAGCGTCAACGACGGTGTGTTACACACATAGCTAGCTACCTAACTTCCTGGAAGTGTTATCTTGCCTATATTGAATTAGATGGTATATGCCTAAACACAGGCTAAGACAATAGTGAAATAAAACAAAGTGCAAAGTTTGTTTCGCCGTAATGTTTTTGATGAACGTACTAAAACTACATTAAGTTGCGTCGATTTGTAATAAATCTTTTTCTATCTTTTTCATTCTCTCTTACATTGATAGTCCAGCTGTTAATGACAAAATTCTTCACTTGTATGATACAAATATGAAACTTTCTCACATTCTTACTATGCCTAGTAACACAAAATTTTGATATAGGTGCAGCACATATTTTACATATAACACGAGTTCTGCGAATGTCGTGTTTGATGACGTCGTCCGTAGTAAAAAAAAATAAAGTTCAGAGAAATTTGCAATTTCCCTGTATATTCTTATACAACAGCTACAGACGATAGAAAAACTATATTACAACTTTTGCTTTTGAGCAATACATTCTGAAATATTCTACATTAAAAGTGTTTTAAAAGTGCTGAGTCAGCACTTTTGTTTAGTGCTATTGCTTTTTCTTAAATACATTGGAAAAGCGCCTAACGAAGAACAGTAATATTAAAATAATTTTAATGCCCTCATGTTATTGACAATCACCCCCACAATTACACAAGCGAGTACAAACTAAATGTGCTTTGACGCATTTACAACGACAAGAACATGAACTTTTGCATCCGCAACGAATAAGTTCATAACAGGCATCTTTAACTTGAGGGAGATTTGTCCACTTTGGTAACCAAGAATTTTCATCATGGTACCAGCCCCAACCTGACGGAGTTGGTATAACCTGCTCTTTTAAGCAGCACTGCCCCCCAGAAAAATCCACCTTGCAACAATGCACGCTTGGTGTGCTGAAGCAACGCTTCTTGGGTTGGTGGAATGTTATCCAGTGTTCTAGACTTTTTGGCAAATAACTCTTGTCTAGCTTCATTGACTCTGGTGAGATTACTTGTACAATCGTATAAGAGGACCAGATATCGCTCAATCACCTGCAAAACATTATATGAATCATAATAGCGACCTTATTTGATAGATAATACATGCCTTTGGCGGTTTCTGAATTACCTGCAAGGACGAACAATCAATCCTTTCTGGCAACAAATTTAGCTCTTGCAACGCTAATTTTAGCTTTTGGAAATACATTCCATACATCCCATGCAGTTTTCTTTCCTCGACCTCCAAAAAAGGACACAGTATCACACCCCGTAAAAGCGTGAAACAACGGTAGAACAGATGCCTTGTCAGGTCCGATAGTCGATGCAATTGTATGCGCGGGAATATAACGCGAGTGCTTTCCTGTGCCATAAAGAATCCATAATTCTTCTGCTTTGATATTTTTCACAATTGAAATGGCCAGTATCAATACGGCAGTATCATTTGTTCTTACAACAATCCTCTGGTGGCCGCAGTCACTTGCATCTAACACGTGCACCATCATTCGTGTGTCATCCTCTTCATGATTACATGGTTCCAACATTGATACTTCGGTTCTTTTAGGGAAGCACAAGACCTTTTCTTCAAATGTACAGTAAATTTCTCTTCTTTCTGGAATCTGCTAGGAAATAACTTTCTGCGCTAAGAAATTGAAAAGATCCATTTTGTTGGCATCTACGCGCAGGAAGCCCTTTTCAGTCAGTAGGGATACGTGCTGTCGATGAAACCTTGCGGCGTTGACCAAAGCTTCTCTTCTCCCGTGCGTTTTTTTTCAGCGAATCCTCTTTGTATACATCCCACACTAAACCAATTCTTTTAGCTGATTAAAATTTCTTTAACACATAAGGAATGAAAGCAAACTGAGCGTACTCTTCGAACGTTTCCCAAGTTCCAGGTCGAAATCATTTGAACAACAACAGCCCCGTCCAAAATAATAACACGTAAGGAATGAAAGCAAACTGAGCGTACTCTTCGAATGTTTCCCAAGTTCCAGGTGAAATCGTTTGAAGAACAACAGCCCCGTCCAAAATAATAACATCGGGAGTTGGTGACTGAACTTTGGTAGTCGGCTCGATATACTTTGTCAAGTCTGCCCTATTTCCACTACGAAAACTTCCTGCTTGTGATAGAGATGGTGGCCATGGTTGGTTCTCATATTTAAAGAAATCATCGAGATCACCACTTCGATGTTGAATGGCTGTATACAATCTTGAAAATAAAGCACAGTCTAGTTTCAGAGTTTGTATATTTACTTTATCTTTTGATGAAACTCTTTTTATTCCTGTTTTAAACGTTGGCAGATTATTTTTTTTAAACGTTTAAGTAATACTCTTGCTTCTCTCAGCAAATCTTTCTTTAACAAATGCTTGATATTGTTCTTCTCCAAGGGTTACAACATTCTTCACCGTATCAACAACGGAACTGTTCATTACGTCATTTGTGTGGATGGCAAATAGGTCTTCGCTCTCTTCTACAAAAGGATTCCCCATCGCTTGAAAATTGGAGAAAACATTTGAGACATCTTTTTAAAATTCTCTTTGAATGGATGGAGTTTGCTATGGTGTAGCTGACTGTCTACATGTGTACTCATCCCGAATTCCCTAATTATTCGTGCAATTTCTGGACCTGCAATCATCCATCTCCTTAAAGCTGAAAGGTTTTCGGTTAGTCCCGCATAACCACCTTCTCTCTAATCTAATGCTATAGCTGAAAACTGTTTCTTCGTTTTATGCACCACAAACGAGCCCTTGGAGAACTGGATAAAGACGTCAGGTTGTTTGAATGGAAGCTCCGACATATCACGGATATGGACAGAAAGCCATCTTGCATAATTAACATTGTCCAAAGCAAACATCCACGGACAAGTTGCTTAATTGACCGGAAGTATAAGGAGAAATTAGCTTCTCTAAATGATCGCACTAGTTGTAAACAGAGTAATTCTAGTTCCAAAACTCTGGTCCAATACAGAAACTGTGGATGATCCTTTGACATATCTTCTTTCCAATTGTGGAATTCTTTAGCTTCTCCATTGTCAACTTTCATGACATACTCCTTATAGGCATCTTGTTGTAGGTAGTAAAGACTGGCTGCTGTAACTTAAGGTGCGCGTCTTGTTCTTGCCACATGATTGCAAGCGATGAATGACTGTACAATACCTTGGTTAGCTATACATGCGTTAGTCAAAATTTCGGTCCAGCCACTCCCTTCAAGCCATTTTCCTAGAACTTTAAAAGCCGTCATCTCAATGTGTCAGCCACCAAACATTACCACAAATTTATCTTCTCCATGACTGTTTGCAAGAGTTCATTGAATTTGCTTGGCTAAAGCAAATAGGGGCTGGTCTATGGCGATAACTGGAGTTTGAGAGTAGTTGACATGACGAACAGCTGATTTAAAAACATTCATTGAATGTAATATCATCGCAAATGAATGCGCATTCTCCCGAAACATTGGGAGAAGTGCAATGATTCGTAGGAGGTTGACGACGTTTTTGACGCTCGATATACTCCCCATGAAAAAGTGTCGTCCTTACTCAGGTCTTCCTTTTGAACGAGATTTCGCACATGTTCAAGCCAGTCTTCCTCCAGATCTTGCCTTTGGTTGACGGTGGTAGATACAGTTTGCATAACGGTATGAAGTGGAGGGGTATAAAGTTCGCCACATGTTAAAGTCACTGGTGGGACATTACAAAATGATGGTGGAAGCTGTGAAATTTTTTTGGAACTAGAAATAGACGAATCAAATAAGTCTACTTCTCTACTCTCACCATTTCCATGAACTGCTGGATGCTGCACGAGCGAAATTGCTGTACCGTGGAAAGAGTCTTGTGCACTTGTGGAGCTGGGATTATGATCTATGTTGTCAACTGCTACAGTTGTAAACAATCCTTTCCGTAACTTCGACGGACAAACAACGTCATCACTCTCGTACCTTGCTATTACTTTATTAGCAATGTCGGAAGAAACAGATAAAAGCCGATCGTACGAGATGCACAATCCCAACTTGAAAAAAGCGTCGATAAGTGATTTATCTCTCGTAGTTCCATGAATTTTGAGGGACGTGTATATTGGTACCGGACATTCTTTCTCTCTAGTGTGATGAGGTCTTGATGCTTCACGCTCGCGTGATGTACAATTGAAGACAATAAGTTGAGAGATGGTTAAGCAAGTTTGATTTTGATCTCTTTCTGCCGGTTGTTTGTTTACAATGGCCCCTTTAAGTATCATATCTATAACAACTTTTAATGATGCTGGAACAGAATCCTTTTGACAATCTTCGGAGAATTTTCCGTTGAATGAGTTCTTTGTTTGAAATATATCTCTTCTTATAATCATAGCCGCTCTTGCTAAATACCATGCTTCCGAATCTTCTTCCTTTGTCCTTTTAAGAGCGTTTCCAATTTCATGTTTCAATACAAGTATAGCGTCTCTTCCTTGACTTTGATCAGTAAGATTGGGAAAAACAGTCAAGATAAGTCCTTAAGTCTCGTAGTATTAATTGATCCACTTTCAACTCCTAATGCCTTCAACTTCATTTTAAAATATTTTGTCAGCTCTGTCATCTTAAGCAAAACTAAATAATCTGATTCTAGTCGTTCTTCAATATAAGCAGTAAGTTCAGAAAATGCTAGCCCATCAAGACTTGGTCCTGAACGTTCAGCGTTTTTTGACGTCTCAGCCTTCATTGCCCTTGCTCGATTATAGAGAGAAATAAGACATTTAGGATGGTACTTTGCCTCCATTGATACCATATCACGATTCGATACTTTTGCTATAAATTGTCTATCGTTTAGCAAAACAGCACATTCCCTAACCTTGCTGACTATCTCAAGCGCTGAAGCTGCACGAAGGTTTGAAGAGTTGTCTGGTTTATCACAGAAAATGCACTCGTTCTTTGAAACTGCAGGGAAGCTTGCTCTTCTGGCTTTAACTGGACGTCCTTTTTCGATTTCAGATGTTTGTTCTTCGCCTGTCTTCTCCGCACTTAAACTTCTTTTCAGGGCACGTTGCAATTTTGTATTGTTGAAAAGATCCCTACATGACTTATGCCATGATGCTTGGCGTTCTTTCAGCGTTTCTTCTATTCCATTACCTCTACCGAGACCCTTTACGTCTAAATTCACCGGTAACATATCAATTTTAACAAATTCTTGCAGATTTTTCGCAAATGAGGAGTACTAAACTCCTGCGTCCTTTCTTTTTGAATTTGATGGACATTGTAGACGTTCCGATGTGTCTTTTTGACAAATTATGCATAGTTTCCAGTCCATGAGTTACATAATATTCTAAGAGGGAGCAGTTATTGACACTGCATGTGCATGCTTTGTTGTGTTTATATCTTGTTCAAAAAAGAATCTTCTAGATTAAATTGAACACGCAAATTATGCGCACGTTGTGGGGGATATTGCATTCTTTTTAGCGTAGCAATAAAATTGTCGTAACTATGTTAGTTACACTTTAACATTTCTTTGTTTTAAGTACGTATTGTAAGTTGTTTGTTTGTTTAGTTTCTTCTTCTTTTTTGTTGCAACGCGTGAGAAGTTGAAACGCAATGAAAGAGTGAGTACTGCTAATGACGTAAAGGAAAGCTCGACTTATGTAATTACCGATAGTATAAATAACATGTAAATAATTAACTCTAATAGATAGCGTAAAATTACACCAGTGATGTACTTGTATAGCTTGTTAGCTTGTAAAATAAAAGGTTCAAAACGAAGAGTGTTAGTGAACCAGCTGAGAAGCGGAATCCTCGATACACGTCATAAAATCTTAAAGCAAAGTTTTACAACAAGAACAAGTAAGGACATAATAATAGATTACTTTATGGTTGGTCAGTGCGTACGATTTTTATGCACGAGTTGAGAATCAATTAGGTGATTGTTTTGAAGCATTTTAAAACAATGAAGTGACAAAAAGTGCTAAAAACCTGAAATGTTAAAGGATAGAATGAGTAAGTATTCTGAATGCTAACACAAGTAAGGTAATAAATCTTAAAGAAACTTAATTGAACGTTCTTCATTGATATATATATATATATATCAATATATATCAGGGGCGGATCTAGGCCATGGCGAAAGTGGCTTGAGCCACGGTCAGAATTCTGCCACTTAAGTTTTTCCATGGTTGACTTTTTCATGATTAAAAATTTTGCTCAAATACAGCAAAATTCGATCAAAAGCAAAAATTGAATGAATTTTGTAATTTTTTTGTCAAAAATTTGTGTTAACAGAACAAAAACTTCAAATTAAACGTCTTGTTAAAATAGTATTATCATCCAGTTAAACTCTGAACTGTAAAATCACCGAAAGCGTCTCGAATCTTGCCGAATACGCCGTGAATATGCTCGGAATATGTTCGTAAATTCGAACCTGCAATCTCAGAATGAAGAGCCACGGTCAGCGTTCAGAAAATTTCGCAATAGTTGCTAAATATAGTAACCTTCAGCCACGGTGCAGCGTTACAAGCCAATCACAGGGAACGTTTTGGTCATGTGCGCCACGGTGAGCGACGGTGAATGTATTTTGATTGCGCAATAAATACAAGTCATATGCAATAGCTCGGTTCTTGTCGACTTGAAAAAACGCTACTTCTAGTTATACTCAGCGATTAGGATCAATGGAAACTTCTAAAAAGATCGATGTTCTTGAAAAGCTCGTCCAAACCTTTCAGAAAGAGAACGCTTGCGAAATTATTTCTGGTGAATTGTCTAACTTGAGACAACACTGTGTTAAAATAATCAACGAGGAAAGGCTTCGTCGTATAAATTCTACTGGCGATATTATGCTACGAACTTGTTTATTTTCAAAAATGCAGTTCCCTGAAAGCCAAATTGAAAGATCAGGACCCAATGCCCCTGTTAGGTAAGAATTTACATGTATTGGGGTATTAATTTATATTTTTATTTACGTTTGACATCTTGGCCTGAAATATATGATCAATCCGTTAATTTTCAGCTATTCATATTTAGTGTATCATGTAAAATATATATCTAAAGCTGTCATTATTTTGCATACTCAGTCAGTCTAATGTACGGTCTAAATAATTTTAATTGTTACTGTCTGTTAAAAAAAATATGTTTTACTGCAATATTAGTCAAAGCTAGTCCTTTTTAAAATTTAACCCAATCAATAATGTATTATCCTTGTATTCCTGGCATTTTATGTTATCCACTGGTTAAAGAAACTAACATATCATTTTGAATAACTGTTACTTTCTTTCACGGGTTACATAGAATATTGATGCTATAGTAGATGGAATGAATAAGTCGTCTGAATCCTGTTTGACATGCTTAGACTAGTTCCAAATCTTAGACTACTTGCCTGTGACTTTGACTTTATCATGATGTTACCAAATTAACACAAAGACAAAATAACTTTCTCAATTTCAATATTATTAGTCTATCTTTAACTGTATTGGTTACCCTTATTTATTCTAATGTCAGAGTCAGTCTAGCAGATTTGTTTCCAGGTATAGCTTGGATAAACATCTTTGCTGCTGTTGGAAGAGGATCACCTTTGAACATTGCTTTTATTAATCTTGCAATCTTTACGATTGTTGGATAAACGTCTTTGTTGCTGTTGGAAGAAGACCACCTTTGAACATTGCTTTTATTAATCTTGCCATCTTTACGATTGTTGGATAAACGTCTTTGCTGCTGTTGGAAGAAGACCACCTTTGAACATTGCTTTTATTAATCTTGCCATCTTTACGATTGTTGGATAAACGTCTTTGCTGCTGTTGGAAGAGGACCATCTTTGAACATTGCTTTTATTAGTCTTGCCATCTTTATGGCTGTTAGCAAAAGCATCCTTGCTGCTTTTCGAAAAAGACCATTTGATGGGGCAACAATGATGGGGAATTATATTTTTGTAGTGAACTTGTCTCTTCCTGCGGCAACAATTCTGTGATTACAGAAAGGTACGGAAACTGCGTTGATTTTACATCAGACACCACAAGGTAAGTAAGATTTTTATTTTTTTATCCGAACAGAATTAAGCCCGAGACACACTGTCGCTGTCGCTTGGTCGTTACGGTGAAACGACAGAGCGACGAAGCGACACGAAAAATGATAACAGACACACTGTCGCTAGCGCAACAGGCAAAGCGACCTGATTTTAAGCACGTACCAGTCCCCCTAGAGAGAATATTAGCGGGAAATACGAATTTGGCGGTTCATTTCAGTATGGCGTCGAACCAGAACTTACGAGATATATTAATAGCAATTGTTTTAAACGAGTTGGACGAGGAAGAAAACAAACAAAACCGACGGGTAGTTCGTAAGAGGCGCTGCTGGGTGAGAGATATCAACCGACGGCAACGCGAACAAGGTGACTTTGGAAACTTGGTTCAAGAATTGAGGAATGACGAAGAACAATTCTTTATTTACTTCAGAATGAATCAAATGACCTTTGATTTCCTTTTGAGCTTAGTTGGTCCTTCATTAAGAAGGCAAAATACTCATTTGCGGCAGTCAGTTTCACCAGGAGAAAGGCTAGCCATCACTTTGCGTAGACTGGCAACAGGAGATTCGCCTCAGTCAGTGGCCTTTGCATATCGTCGTGGTTTAAGTACAGTTCGCAGCATAATATACGATACATGTGAGGTTTTGTGGTCTGTACTTATGCCAATGTATTTAAAAGCACCATCGAGTGTATTAGAATGGCAGGGTATTGAGCAAGGGTGAGTTTCTATCTCATTATCATGTTGATTTATTGCACGGAGTGAGTTCCTGAGCTTGAAACAAAGTTTCTTTACTGTTTGTGACCTAGTTTTTCAATTGAAATAGGTTCTCTACTGTCTGGAATTTTCCAAATTGTATTGGTGCTTTGGATGGGAAACATATTGCAATTCAGGCTCCTAGAAAATCTGGCTCAGCCTTCTTCAATTACAAAAAGTTTCATTCCATTGTGCTGATGGCAATGTGTGATGCCCATTATCAGTTTGTGTATGTTGATGTTGGAGAATCTGGCCGGTGGAGTGACTCTGGAGTCTTCGAAAATACAACATTTGGATCAGCATTCCTAAATGGTATGCACATGTAATTGATCTTAAAATGCAAAACATATATATTTTGTATATATACATAAAGTGCAATTTTTTAAAGGAAAAGTCCAGTTACCAGACCCCAGACCTCTGATAAATGATGGCAAGAAGATGCCATATTGCATTGTTGGGGATGAGGCTTTTCCATTGAAGACATGGATTATGCGACCATATCCTGGTAAATCTTTGGACTGTGTAGCAAAAAAAGTATTCAATTACAGATTATCAAGAGCTAGAAGGACAATTGAAAATACATTTGGTAAACTCAAATAAAAACATTGTTGTATATATCAATACTTCATAATTTGATTATGTCAATATTTGTAGGCATCATGGTTTCCAAGTGGAGAATCTTGAAAACTGCTATTGTTGCTGAGCCAAACAACGTTGTCAAATTGGTTAAAGCTATATGTGTTCTTCACAACTTTCTGCGAAAGCAATCTGCAGCAAGTTACACACCTCCTGGCTCGACAGATATAGTGGATGAAAATGGCCAAATAAATGAAGGGAGTTGGAGAGCTGAGATGGAAAAAGCTACTCTTCAACCCATTGCTCAGAGCTCTAGAAACCAAACAAAAGCAGCTCTTAGAGTAAGAGAAGATTTTGCATGTTATTTTATGTCATCTGAAGGAGAGTTATCTTGGCAAGTGGATTATGTCCTTCGTACATCATAATCATAAATAGAATAATTGGAAAAGAGTCGGTTTATTTTGTTAGTTTTTTTTTATTTGAAAATAATGATTGTAACAGAAACACTTAAAAAACATAAAACTAATTTTCTGGAAACTCCAGCTTAAAAAGAACATCCTGAATCTCCTTCTTGGCTTTAGCCCTAGCATATGGAGTAGGTAGCTTCCTAATTTGCTCAGCAACACTCTTTCCGAAAAAGTCATATTCATCTTGACTCTCTGGCTCTTTAACTTGTTTTTTTTGAAGAGTTTCTAGATACCCAATCAACTTTGTTTGATATGGTGACATGTCTTCAGCCTTCCTCTTCTTGCATCGTACAATTTCAGATGTGCAGGACAAATTTGTTGATTGGCTTGATGGACTGTCAGCAAGCACACTCTCAGCTATCTCCTCAGAGTCTTCCTGGATTTGAGAAGACGTAAGTTGGTCTTCCACAGGGATAACAACATTCGAGATTGTCCTATGAATAAAATGATCAATTACTCATAGAAATAGCTTATTTTTTCCTACATTGTTATTAGAAAGTCATAGTGTAATTTCAAAAATTACATACTGGCGTCGTTTTGCGTAATCATCCAGCCAGGTCATAATAGACCAAAACTCCCAGTTTGGTGTTGAGGAACCAGGAGCACCAGATTTGATAGCTGCATCATGCTTCTTTTTGCATCGCCTATAAGTGTCTCGCAAATTCTTCATTTTACCTTTTAGTTCGTTTGCTTAATAAGAGAAAAATAAATATTTATTTGACTGGGTCAGACGATAGTGACAAAAAATATTGTGAGATAAGAAAACATGTTTTGCGAAATGAGTATTTACCTGAGAAATCAAAACCGATTGCACGCATTTCTTCGGCTATCTTTTGCCAGATATTTCCCTTCAATTTTTCATCTTTATAGTCTTTTAAAGACATGTCGTAAAGAGCAGGATACGCGCGAAAAGAATTTATAAGTGCTTCTTCTAGTGACGCCATTTTGAAAATTTTGTCCTAGCGACACAGCGATTTCATGTGCTCCAGCGAATTCGCTGGCTGTGTTGAAACGACACAGCGACACGGCTTTGTAACCGCGCAATCCCGTCGCTGCGCGGTAACGACATAGCGACAGCGACAGTGTGTCTCAGCCTTTAAAAAAATGGCGATATTAGAATTTTTTAGATGAGATTATAGACCCCCCTAGCGTTGCCTCGCGCCGAAGGCGCTTGCTACGTCACAGGGCCACGGTCAGCCCAGAAGCTGGATCCGCCCCTGTATATATATATATCATTGATATATATATATATATATATATATATATATATATATATATATATATATATATAGAGTTTTGTGTTTTCTTCTTCTCATCAACATTTACGCTCTGCTCTTAAGCATCGAGCACTGTACTTACGGAGATTCAAATAAACAGAACTTCCTATATATATATATATATATATATATATATGATAATGATAAGGATTCTCTGGATTTGTTTTAAATTTTTTTTTTATTAAGCTTTCAACTCGGTGCTTCGAGCCTTCGTCAGAATGTGACAATATATTATTTACAAGGATTTTGTAGGCGTTTGGAGCGTCTGATTGGTTGGTTAGTAGTTGAGTTGATATTATTGGATGGTATAAGATGCGTTGTCATGGTTTCGGGTGTATCGATTACGTTAATGAAATTCGAGTGTTTTATTTTAGTCGTTGTGTTATTAGTTTGTTGTTTTGGTTTCGTCTTTAGTTGTGAATAGATGATGGGGATGTCAATATGTCTGTTAATTGTGTTGTTGTCTTTGCTGTACCATGCCTCTTTAAATTCTCGTGCGTGTTTTGTCTGTGCGCGTCCAAGAAGTTGTGTTTTTGTCCAGTCAAATGTGTGGTTGGTATCGTAGGTATGTTCTGCTGCTAGTGATTTTGGGTCACGTCGTTTGATGGCATTCTTGTGTTCAGTGAGTCTTGTTTCAATTTTCTTGGACGTTTGTCCTATGTACTGTTTGGGGCAATCTTTACATGGTATCATGTAGACCGCGTTGGTTGTGTCGAATGTCGTTGTTCGGTCTTTATGTTTAGTGAAGTATGATTTGAGTTTGTGTGTTGGTTTATGTGCGATGTTTATTTTGAATGGTCGGAGTAGTCTTGATGTCATTTCTGATGTTCCGTTTATATATGGTAATGTCACTATTTTTACTGGTTCGTCTGTATCTTCGTTAGGTTTTTCAGTTTGTGGTTTGTTGTGCATTTTGTTTAATACTTTGTTGATAAAGTTTCGTGGGTAGTTGTTGTTTATGAATGTAGAGTATAAGTAGTTATAAAACAACACGTCCAAGAAAATTGAAACAAGACTCACTGAACACAAGAATGCCATCAAACGACGCGACCCAAAATCACTAGCAGCAGAACATACCTACGATACCAACCACACATTTGACTGGACAAAAACACAACTTCTTGGACGCGCACAGACAAAACACGCACGAGAATTCAAAGAGGCATGGTACAGCAAAGACAACAACACAATTAACAGACATATTGACATCCCCATCATCTATTCACAACTAAAGACGAAACCAAAACAACAAACTAATAACACAACGACTAAAATAAAACACTCGAATTTCATTAACGTAATCGATACACCCGAAACCATGACAACGCATCTTATACCATCCAATAATATCAACTCAACTACTAACCAACCAATCAGACGCTCCAAACGCCTACAAAATCCTAGTAAATAATATATTGTCACATTCTGACGAAGGCTCGAAGCACCGAGTTGAAAGCTTAATAAAAAAAAATTTAAAACAAATCCAGAGAATCCTTATCATTATCATAATATGCCTGGGTTACCAATTTTCAAATATATATATATATATATATATATATATATATATATATATATATATATATACATATAAAATGTATAACAATGTGCCCTCCCGGCTATCACCTTAGTAAAATGGTGACTCCTGCACTTGGGACACAGGACGTACGGTTACACATTGTATGGATTGTATTGTAGAGTCACCACAGTGCTCAAACCTATATAGGTGAGCATTGCATAAAGCGAATGCGGTGAACGTCTCTTTATGAGACTCTCTACGCAATCCGAGAGCGCTCAAACTGCGCATATATATATACATAAAAGATAAAAGTTTCTCCGGGTTTAAAGTGAGTTTTATTGAGCTTTCGACTCGTTGCTTCGAGCCTTCATCAGAATGAAAAATATTTATTTACACATGCTTTTTAGCTTGGAGACGTTTAAAGCGTCTAATTGGATGAGTGGGTGGATTAATGTGATTGGATGGGGTGAAATGCGTTGCCATGGGTTTTGGTGTGGGTTTTGGTGTTCAAAGCAATACATAGGACAAACATCTAAGAAAATTGAAACAAGACTCACAGAACACAAAAACGCCATAAAACGATGAGATCCGAACTCACTACCGGCAGAACATACCCACGGAAACAACCACACATTCGACTGGACAGAAACTAAATTTGTACTCGGACGCGCACAGTACTCGGACGCGGACGCGCACAGACTAAACACGCACGCGAATTTAAAGTACTCGGACGCGCACAGACTAAAAGTACTCGGACGCGCACAGACTAAACACGCACGCGAATTTAAAGAAGCTTGGTACAGTAAAGACAACGACACAATAAACAGACATATCGACATATCCATCATATACTCACAACTAAAGGAAAAGGACATAAAAACTACAAACAACACCAAAACTGAAACACTACACTCTAATATTATTAACACCAATCATATTCACAATACACCAAAACCCATGGCAACGCATTTCGCCCCATCCAATCACATTAATCCACCCACTCATCCAATTAGACGCTCTAAACGTCTCCAAGTTAAAAAGCACGTGTAAATAAATATTTTTCATTTTGATGAAGGCTCGAAGCAACGAGTCGAAAGCTTAATAGAACTCACTTTAAATCCGGAGAAACTTTTATCTTTTATGTATTAAATGCCTGGATTACAAATTTTCAAACTTATATATATATATATATATATATATATACAGGAAGTTTTGTTTATTTGAATCTCCGTAAGTACAGTGCTCGATGCTTAAGAGCAGAGCGTAAATATTGATGAGGAGAAGAAAATACACAAAAACTACAATTTCATCCCGACAACCCTGTTTCCTGATTTCTCACTCTTCAGGGGATAATATTAAATGAATACAAATTTGTATTAAAATATATATATAAAAGTGCTGACTCAGCACTTTTCAGAATATTCCATACACAATATTTGGGAAAGTATTGCCCAAAAGAAAAATTTGTAATATAGTTTTTCTATCGTCTTTGCTGTTGTATAAGACTATACAGGGAAATTGCAGATTTCTCTGAACTTTATTTTTTTTACTACCGACGACATCATCAAACACGACATTCGCAGAACTCGTTTTAAATGTAAAATATGGGCTGGCCCTATATCAAAATTTTGTGTTACTAGGCATAGTAAGAATGTGAGAAAGTTTCATACTTGTATCATCAAAGTGAAGGGTTAGGTGTTTTTTTGTCATTAACAGCTGGACTATGAGGAAGAGCACTTACAATTATGTTTGCCTCTTTTTGTCAGGTTTTGTTGATGATAAAAAATAAGTAGAAGTTCAAAATGGGATCTTAAAAACTTTCAAGAAAAACAATAAATAGATGTTTTTGTAATCGAGTATTCACTACCTCATTTTTCAAAATACCATACCCTAATATTTAAGTTACCTGAGATAAAAGCACTAAAATGTCAAATGTTTCAACCCTGTTTCAACGTAATACGAAGGATTTGCAATAAAGAGATCTTTTATTGTGTGTAATTTACCCTGAAAAACATTACAGAAAATTTTTTTTTGTTTTTGTGGAATGTTCCATGAAATCAAATCACTTTGATCTTTGTGCAACAAGTTACTGAGACAGGTATTATTTGAAAATATTTACGCATCATTTGGCACCTGGATCTACATTTTTATATGTCTTAACATTAAGAA